GACCCCGGCCTGGAGTCCGGCGCGCGCAGGAGGAGGTCCCGGGAGGGGGCCCCGGCCAGGGCTGGGCTGGACGCGCGGGCAGGGGGTGGCAGCGCCCTGGAGGGGCCCCAGCTCTCGAAGCTGGGGGGCACTTGGGCGCGCACGCCGGCTCCCGGGGCTGTGCTGGGTCTCGGGAGGTGAGATCGCGCCGGCCTGGAGTCCCAGGCTGGGCGCAGAGGCGAGAGTTGAAGGCACCAGCGGGAACCAGGGGGCCCGTGGGCCTTGGAACCACGTACCCGGCGGAAAATGGCTGAGACATCTGTTGCGCTCGGGAAGGAAGGAAGGGGGGCGCTTTAGAGTTTGTCTTCGGAGAAATTTACATAACAGGGTGTCGCGGAATCTCGGCACAGAGAAAGATCGGAAATCTGACACCCCACAGACAGGAGAGAAGGCTTTGTCTCCGAAGCGGTGGGCTCGCCAAAGAGTGGGGCCCGGGAGCTCAGTGCTCGGGGTTCGGCTGGGGGGCGAAGACTGGCGGTTCCGAGCTTTTCTCCCGGCGGCGGAGTCCGGGGGCGTCTGCCTGGGCTGCGGGGCTTCCAGGAGCGGCCTGACCCCAGCCCCCCTCCGGCTGCCCTCCCGCCGAGCTGGCCGGTGTCTTGCCTTTGCTTTTCACAGCAGGAATCCCCCGCCCCCGGGCGAGGAAGGCGCTATCTGCAGACCCTTGAGGGGGCGGGGAGTTAGAGGCCCCGAGTGGAGGAATCCACAAAGCCCGCCCGCCGCCGCGGGGGGCCTGTCCGCCCAGTCCCGCCTCTCCCGGCTTGGCCTGCTGGGACCCAGAGGAGGATCACTGGACCCCGGCGGGGCTGAACAACCTGGCCGTTCCGGCTGGTCGCTTGTTAACCGAAGCTGGGGCTCTCAGGTTTCACTCTCCCCCTTCACACCCGCCTGAGAGTCAAGCTGGGAAGGCAATCCACATTTATTTTAGTGTTGTTTTTAGAGACTGGCTCTTACTGTGTCTCCCAGGCTGGAGTGCAGTGGTGCAATCACAGCTCACTGCAGCCTCGACCTCCAGGGCTCAGGTGATCCTCCTGCCTCAACCTCCCAAGCAGCTGAGACTATAGGTCCATCACACCTGGCTAGTTGCCCAGACTGGTCTCGAATTCCCAGACTCAAACCATCCTCCTATCTCGGCCTCCCAAAGAACTGGGATGACAGGCGTGAGCCCCTGCACCCAGTCCACAGTCCATGTTTGTCTGTTGCTTTCTTCCTTCTGGGTCCCATGTGTGCCCTCTGAGTCCTCGCGTTGTCGCTTGAGGTAGAGGTCCTTGGGTCTCACACCTGAGACACAGAGAGATCACAGCACTTATTCAGGGGTCCAGGTGGTAGAGCTGGGGTTTGAATCCAGTGTCTGTGAAGACTCGACCCACGTGTTGCCACTGCACATGGCCACCTGGGTCTGGATGACAAAGATTGCTCAACCCTCGAGTCCTCTACCCAGGAGTGCCACGCACCAGCTTCCCTTGGTCTCCTCGCGTGGCTGTGGAACACACATGGACAGCTTACTGTGGAGAGCAGCAGGGAAAGCTCGGCATACATGGATGTGCACAGATCGAACCCCTCCATGCTGCAGCCATCCTCCATCCTGGGACCTCTAGAATGAAAGACGAGGCCTCTATCCTCAAAGAGTCCACACCCCAGGGAAGCACAGGGCAGAGGTGAGTGGTCTGAGATGGCGCTGTGGTCCTCATCTTCCCTCAGATGCTCACATGAACCTGATTACCAAAGGCGGAATCCAACCATGGAGAGGCCCCTACAGTGCTATGGGACTCGGGCTCTGCAGAGGCTGGCCACCTCAGTTCCTGGCCTGTGATGTGGCCTGGGGTTGGCTCTCCAGCCATGAGAGGGAGCATGTGGCTCCTCCTGTGGAGAGGGGCGGTTTCCAGGGAGCACCACCAAGTCCTCACAGGGCAAGACATCTGAGGGGAGAGGTGGGCACCATGGGGTGACAGTCTTCATGACACATTGGCATCTGGTGGGAGGGGTGGGTACTGTGGGGTGAGAGTCCCTCATGACACGGCAGCATCTGGAGGAGTGATGGGTGCCATGGGGTGATAGTCCCTCATGCCACAATGGCATCCAGTGGGAGGGGTGGGCACCATAGGGTGACAGTCCCTCATGACACGGCAGTGTCTGTGGGTGGGTGCCATGGGTGGGAGGAGTGAGCGCCACAGGGTAACAGCCTATGAGAGGCCAGAGGACAATGCACGGGGAAGGCCTGGTCCCATCCCCAGTACCTGGCATTGGAGGGGCCTCATTCTCGCCTGCCTGACGAGTGGGGTGGGGGACTGGCCAGCTGGTTAGGACAGCATCCTCTCCTGCCAGCATTTGTGGACAGAACCCTGTGCACATGGGAGACTGTGAGGCCTGCATGGGTCTGGCAAGCACCGTCTCTGGGCCTGCTCCTTCCTCCAGCCTTCATTTCTCCAGGAAAAGAGCTGGGGAAGGAGCCCTGAGGAGGGTGAGGCATCGGCTCCTCCTGGGCTAAGAGCACCCTGCTCACCCTCCTGTCTTTGGGTGGAGCCTGAGGCAGCCCCAGGGTCATGGGTTTGCTCAGCCTGGCCAGATCTCCTTTCATGGAAGGGAAACACTCACCCAGTTAATTTTTCATCATGCTGAGTACAAAGTTCAGGTGGGGCGGGACGGAGGCGACTGTGGCCCTGGGAATAGTTCTTCTTAGGGTCCTGACGAGAGGGCCCATGGATAGATGCCCAGGAACTTCCCCGCATTTGGAGTGGCTCTGGGACCGGAAAAAGCAGGCACCAGTTCCACTCTGATTCTTTCCTATTTGCTAGAGGTTGTCGAGTCCACACACTGTGAATCTGGAAAGACCATCCATCTTGCTCCGTTTTCATTGTTGACACAGACAGAAAGCAATGCCTGGGAAGGGGGTGGTTTACACTGTGAAGGGATGTGGCCTGACAGGTTCAAACTTCCCCCAGAGTGCCTGTGTCTCAGGCCTCTGCTGCAGTGAGGTCTCTGTCCACAGCTCTGTGTGGCACCCTGCACCTTGGAGCTCTTCAGTGGCCAGGCAGACCTGGGCTCAACATCTGCTTTTACTGTTCCCAGCTGTGAGACTTTAGGCTCATTCCTTCACTCTGCGTGTGTCAGTTTCTCAACCAGAACATGGGAATGACCATAACACCTACCTTGGAGCTTGCTGTGTGGAATCAAATTGAGTAACTAGAATAGAGAGCTCGGCGCCAGCATACAGCAGGTTCTTAGTTCACGTGGACATGGTCAAGGCAGATCCCAGAGGGCCACACAAGTCAGGAGCCACCATCCACACTCACAAAGCTGATGCAGGGCTCTGAGAAGTGGCTCCGAGGAAGCCAAGACGAGAGTACAATGAAGAGCATGATGCTGCTTAGTAACAACCTGTGAAGCGACTGGATACATTTTGAGGGAGTTGCGCAAATGAAAAGATACACACTAGCCAATTCCCACCCCTCAGGAGGGCAGGCACTTAAAAACAAAGTAATGGGTGGCACTTAAAAACAAAGTAACAAGTGTTGGAAAGGCCTCAAGAGACCAGTACCCCTGCTCCTCCCTGGGTTAGATGGAAAATGAAAGTGATGCGGAATTGCCACACAGCCCAGCAGTGCATTCTGGGTGTCCACCCAGAAGAGGCAAGGGCAGGTCTCCAGCAGGTGTAGGCACACCTGTGTAATAGCCACACTCTTCACAGTGGCCAGAAGATGGAAGCAACCCATGTGCATGTCTTGTTATACACATCTTACTGCAATAAAAAATAGGAATAAGAGGACACAGACTGAACATGGCCAAATAGAGGTGTGAGGGTGTGTGTGGGGGGGAGGATGAGGCCAGGGAAATTAGTAAATGGATGGATGGGCCACCATCCACATGATGGAATTTACTCTGCCTTGAGAAGAAGGAAATTCTGACACCTGCTGAATGTGGACAACATTGAGGACATCGTGCCAAGTTCGGTAAGCCCGTCACAAAAGGAAAAATGCTGTATGAGTCCACCTATGAAGGCATCTGAAGTCATCAGTTCCCAGAAGGAGACAGAGGTCCCCAGGACTGTGGAGGGGTGGAGAGTTGGGGTCCCATGGGTGCCATTTAGGGTGAAGATGTTGAGTGAGTTCTGGAATGGGAGGTGGTGCTGCTTGAATGGCAGCGGGAGGGCACTCAGTGCCACAGAACTGCCAGCTTAACATGGCTGAAATTGTGTTGTCTTGTGATATATTCTACCAATAAGGAACAGAAATGGGAAGATGCACGCAGAACACATGGGACAGGTGTTGGGAGTGTGGGCAGGGGTGAGTCCCAAGGGGGAAGAAGATGTGAACTCAAAGCTCTGTGCCCAGGGTGTGAGGGCTGGACCCCCCAGAGCTGCAGGACTCCCCGGTGCTCACTGTGTCTGTCAGTGGACTCCTGTTCCTTGTCTTCTCAGATGGAGTGTGTGGCCCAGCATGGGCCAGTATGTGGTGTGTCACACCCAGATAACTCAGGCCGAGTTATTTAAATCACCCACCTCCCAGCAGCCCCCAACCACAATGCCCCCCGACCATGCAGGGACAGAGGGCAGAAGGCTGGCGCCATGCATGGGTCTGCCCCGTGCCTGTTCTCAGTCAGAGCTCAAGGCTGCAGTTGTGTTGAAGGACTCACCACATCTGTTGCTGTGCCACAGAGCAGAGACAGAGGTTCATGAGTTCCCAGTCATTGGCCCACCTGGAATGGCCATGGACCACTGGTCCCCAATTTTC